AACAATTGTTGAGACAAAGTTTGGAAAGTCATGCAAGAATATTTCAATGCATGATTACCACAGCAAGATTATTAACATGCACACTTGGCATAATCCACTGTAGAGGAATAATTGGCAAAATTAACAGATCTTGCCAAGATGGATAAACTAACTTCTTTGATTAGAGAAAAGATAGTATCTACATTCATTGATGACTGGAAACCCTTTATGGATTTTTTGGATAAAGATAAAAATGAATTTATGATTTATGGTTTTAATAATTAAACGATAAATATGAAAAGAAGGAAATTATGATATAACTTTAGAGAAAAAGATTAAGATATAATTGTATTTGCTGTGAAATATATTGGAAGCCACTTTTGTCAACGCTGCTAACATCAGATGTTCTTGCTTTGACAACAGATGGAAATGCAGCCATTTTATTCTTTTGCTTTTAGAGTTAGTTGATGCAGGGAGGGGGAATGTAGACGAGAGTCCAGTTAGTTATAACAATAATAACTCAGCCATGGGAATCCAAAGTTATTGTGCCCAGAGTTGATAAAGACTTGGCAGGGCTGGAGATGCTTCAAGCTAATTGGGGAATGTGATTTATGACTGTTAATTGGAGGAGGGAATTATGCTTTGTTACTTTGTGCTCAGGGGAGGGGAATTCAGTTTTTGGCTTTAACTATGTAGTGCTGATACTTTGTTTCTCGATTAAAAGATTCTTTAAGGTAAACAATACCTCGAAGTTCTTTTGAAGAGTTTAATCTGTCGGAAACAATGTCTTTATATTTTTCTTTCTAGCTTGCTCCTTTTAAAATTTTCTTTTCTTATTGCACTTATTGCATTCTTTTCTTTCTTTTCCTTTTAAACCTTTTCTGTTTTGATTTAGTTTGTTGTATTCTTATTATTTATATGTAAAATTTATATATAAAAAGAAAAGCATTCCCTTAGAACAGTGGTGTCGAACCTATGGCACGGGTGCCAGAGGCAGCACTCGGAACCCTCTCTGTGGGCACACATACCGTTGTCCCAGCCTTGCCACCACTGCAACCCCCTCCTCTCCCTGGAGGAGAGTTGCCCCTGAGCGTGGCCCACACGGAGCAGTGCAACCAAGGACATGGCAGCCAGGCAGTGTAGACAAGATTGTGCCCTCACGCCTCAACTCGCACAGTTGATGCTGCAGGGGTGGGCAGAGGGCGTGGCCACCATGGCACTGTTGGGATGCCTGGGTGATCGGCGGGCCCTGGAGGCGGTGAGTGGCCCTGCAGGCAGGCAGGGTGGGGCAGAGTGGGGGCGGGGCAGGGGGTGGGGCGGGGGTAGGGCCAGTTTTTGGGCACTCGGTCTCTAAAAGGTTCGCCATCATTGTCTTAGAATATACTTGTAATACAAAAGTAGAAGTATGAAAAATATGAACTTAGTAATCATCCAGAAGTGTAATCAAATATAAAAAGTTTTGAATTATTAGAATGTCTAACTTCAAATGCTGCTCTTAATCTTCAAGTGAAAGGAGGTGCTTGCAGAATAGTAAATATGGACAACATGTGTGGTTTTCATTGCCTGACCTGTGATGACACTTCAATATCATTCACTTCAAAGCAACCCGGAGCCCTTTTTAGTACATGTGAATGCATGGAAAAAGAAGGGCTTACATTCTGAAAGGTTTGAATGATTATAGAGCATATACTTTACAACATCTCTTTCTGTTTAATTTTCTGTTGTAAGAAAAGTGCTGTTCAAATAACTCATGGGAAAGGCATATTAATTATACCTAGTTTGCATGTATGAAATGGCTGTCAAGAGCCCTTTCAGCTGAAGAAAAAAGAAATCAACTTTTTAAAAAGCAGATTCAATTTGTAATCTAGAGATGGAGAAATGCCGTAGGTTTGTTTTATATAGAGGAAGCATCATTCTTACATACAGGAAGGTCACAAATTGGCCTTTTTAGTTTACAAAGTAATCTTGAATGGCAAGAGACAGGAAATAAACTTACTCTGATCCTACTAAAATCTGCCAGTTGATGTAGATAGCACTTGGTAAAACAGGCAGCAGTTTGATTCATTGTAATTCATCTTTATTCTTCTATCTCAAGTATATAATCAATTCTAGTGGTTAATTTCAGCAGAAAATTGCATGATCTTGACTAAGAATTACCATTTCATATTTTTCAGAAAAATTGAAAAATAGAAGTTAAAACTTCACTCAGGAGTGGAGGCAGGGTAGATAGCAAATCAACACTCTGCTCAAAATAGGAAACCCAGAAAGTATTTTAAAATTTTATCACTTCTATATCAGGATTTATAAATGCTATCATCAGAAATAGTGTGTCACCTTAATCAACATTTTTTCTTTGTCTAAAAGAGCAGTAACCAAAGGTTAACTAGATGCCTGTCATATCTAATTGATACTGTAATAGTAATCACAAGCTTTGGATCTAGCTTAGAAAAAGTAAGATATTTTTTTCTTCTGAAACCACACCATTTAAATAATGTGTTAATTTTAGAGGAGGGTTTCTCATTATTTTAATCTTTAAGCTAAGTGATAAATCCCATAACGACACTATAAAGTTCAGTTGCCAGTTGGACAAATCATGTGTAAAATAATAATTTTAAAAAACCTTTAAAAAGCTATTAAATGACCAGGTGAACAGAATATACTTGATTTGGCACCTAAAGCCCAAACATCACATATTTATTTATTTTTTAAAAAATCACTTTTAAAGAAAAATCTGCCTTGAGACTATGATCCAATTTCTTGCTGATTTCTAGTTGCTACAGTTATTTCCTTCTAGGGCAGTGGTTCTCAATCTTTTTATACCGGCGACCCCGGTCATAAGGAGGAGGCGCGCATGCACGGCGCCCCCCGTGCGGCACGCATGCGCGGCGGCGCCCCCTGCGTGGTGCGCATGCGCGCCGCCCCCATGCGCCGCCCCCATGCGCCGCCCCCTGCGCATGCGGGGCAGCACCCCCTGCACCGGCCGAGAAAAAAATGGCGGATCGCGTTGTTTGGCGACCCCTGTGAAATGGTCGTTCGACCCCAAATGGGGTCGCGACCCACAGGTTGAGAACCGCTGTTCTAGGGGTACTAAAGGGAAATCATAGTAGCCAAGAAAATATTTTTGATATAAGAAGTTTTGCATGAAGTTAAGCAAATATAGGTACGGGGTGAGCTCTCTAACCAGGGAACATAACTGGTTTTATTGAGGTGTTACAAGTTCTTATGATGCTATCTTATATGAATGCTACAGCTCTGTGCATAGAACTATTCATCTGGCTCTGATGCGAATGGAAAAAATTGCTATGATAGGCTTAGTGCATAGACATAACAGTAACTAGGAATAGTTTTTCAAGCAGAAATGCCCAGGTGGACTATGTATCCTGCAGTGCACAGAGATCTGCATCAGCAATACAAACTTGCTATTTTTCTAGAGGAGCAGTTTATCCCTGCTGCAATTAAATTGTTTGCAACTAAAACCCAAGCACAGTCACTACACGGAGCTCATATATGACTATATAACAGTATGAACAGCCTCCCAGAGTCACCTTGTGGGGGAGATGGGCAGCACAAAAAATTAATAAATAAAAATAAAATAATCACATTCCTGGAAAACTTTGATCCAAAAGATACTGAACTTGTATGGTTTCTCCAATGATGCCATCTTAGCTTTAGAGTTAATCAAGTTAGATCAATAGAGGTAGTCCTCAACTTACAACAGTTCATTTAGTGATCGTTCAAAGTTACAACGGCACTGAAAAAAGTGGCTTATGACCATTTTTCACACTTATGACCATTGCACCATCCCCTATGGTCATGTGGTTTACATTCGGATGCTTGACATCTGATTCATATTTATGATGGCTGCAGTGTCCCAGGGTCACGTGATCCCCTTTTGTGACTTTTGGACAAGCAAAGTCAATGGGGAAGCCAGATTCATTTAACAACCATGTTACTAATTTAACGACTGCAGTGATTCACTTAACAAATGTGGTAAGGAAAATTATAAAATGCAGCAAAACTCACCTAACAAATATCTCACTTAACAACATAAATTCTGGGCTCAATTGTGGTCGTAGGTCGATGAGTACCTGTACTAAGAATCTTAGATATAGAAGGTCAGGAATTGCTACTTTCACTCACAATATAATTCCTAATAACCAAGTTTTAGTGACTAAACCAACCTCATGTTTATATCATATCACAGTTCTCAAATTAAGGAGAGTTTTATCTTTAGCTTGATTTAATGTGCTCCCCATAGCTGACCTGGAAGGGAAATATAGGAAAACCCCATAGGGAACCTGACACTGCCTCTGTGATATAGGTATAAAACCCACAGCTCATGTTCTTCTGTATTGCCAGTTCTAAAGGGACATTTGCCACCAGTTGATTATCTCTCTTTTATTTAAATTTCCAAGGCACTTTGATAGCTTTTATCTGTTAAATATCAAAATATATTTATTTCTCTTAAAGTAACAAACTTTTACTATATTATGTGTAAGCTTTGCCCACAAATGGTTGCTAATAGTTCTTGTGGTTAGGAGATAATTTTGTGTTCCCATTTTACTGATTGTATTTTTATTGATCAGTGATCGGGGAAAAAAAAACCTATTTGTGTATCTGGAGAACATGGAGGAAGCTATTTTTTTCTATTAAAGGAATTGCATCATTCAGTGTATGTCTGCTTCTCCTGATTTTATCAAGCCATGTTCAGTTTTTGTTTTTATTGCTTATGGTTTTTGTGCAGATTGTTTTATTCTTTTATAATTGTGTTGATTTTATTTTATTCTTTATGTAAGCTGCCGAGAGTCTCTGGATTGCAGTGGTGTAGAAAATATATAACTAAATATGTCAATCAGCTTTCTTAACTTGAGTATCCAAGGCAGCATGGTCTGTTGCTGAAAATTCCACAAGTTAAATCAATATATCTGAGAGTGCTTAGATTGCCAAAGACTGGTGTAAATATTTCAGATATTTTGATATATGTCTGTATATCTTTGCGTTTTCATTTTCTTTTCCTTCAGAATTGTCTTCAGTGTCTTTTGAGGAGCTGTTACAAATGAGAAACCAAGTTGGGATGAAGGCTTATCAGCAAATGACATCTAAGAAAAGGCCACCAGATGTCACAGAAACAAAGAAGAGGCCGTGTTTGAGCAAAAACAGGTAAACACAATTTCTGCTTTGTGAAGTCTATAATACTTTAAATGATGAACATACTTGAGATTGCATTGTATGTCATGTTTCGATTTAGTGCAAAGCTTAGGAATTTTAAATTTACCTTTCAGGATCTATACATGTATAATCTCTTCACCCTAGAAAGGAGTGTACAAGGATTAGCTTTCTCAGCTGGGTGGAACCTGTAAAGATCTAAAAGCTACCCTGATTTGTGGGGGTGGGCCTAATATAAGCTCTTCTCCAAAAATAAGCCCAAATTAGGACCTCACCCACTCTATCCCACTTGGCTGCAGCAATGGGACAGGAGGCTGTGCAACACATCACACCACTGCCACCACAACAAGGCCAGGCAGGTGGGGGAGCGGGTGGAGCTGCCCTACATGCCCTGCACCTGCTTCCTTCAGCCCCCCCCCTCTGACCAGGCCATTCCTTGCTCCCTTTCACTACCCTCCTGAGCCGAACTGCCATGCTGCTGTATGGAGGATGGGCAGGGTAGTCCTGGTCACCCTTCACTGTTTCAGAGCCAGGCGGGAGTGATGATGAAAGACTCTACTGCCACTGTGTGCCACTGGATGGGGTTTCTTCATGCTCTGACCCACAGATCATCTGCACGGCAACAGATAGAGACTAAAAAAAATTCAGTCAGAACTTCTAACTTCTCGTGGAAAAAAAAAAAAGATCTCGCAAAGTTGGAAGGTCTGACTGAACTTTTTTTAGTCTCATGAACTCTGTTTCCCTGAAGTAGGAGAGAAACGCGCTGGAGCTGGAAAATAGGTTAGTGTTGAATTTTTTGCTTTTGGGAAGAGGTAGGAACTGGCAATGGTGCGCCAAGCTCTATAGCAGCACCAGGAGGAGAAGCGGCAGGAAACAGCTGTCATTTCCAGAACGGAGAAGGGAGACACGGGGCGATGCAGGGCAGCAAGCAAGTGCTCTTCTCTGCTCTGCATCGTGCACAGAACTGTTCCCCTCCCCGTTCTCCGTTGTCTCCAGTGTCAGCGACGGAGGGCTGACAGAAGGAGGCAGCAGGGGAGGCTTGCGCTGCCCAGTCACGATGCGAGCCATGGGAGAGTTGGTGGAGGAAAAGGAGGTGGCTGCTGCCGGGCAGATGATCTGTGGGATGAAGCGCGAAGAAAGCCCCTCCAGTAGTGCACAGTGGCAGCAGAGCCTTTCACCATCACTCCTGTCTGGCTCCAAAATGGCGAAGGGCGACCAGGCCTACCCTACCCATCCTCCATATGGTAGCATGGCAGTCTGGCTCAGGAGAGGAGTGAAAGGGAGCAAGGAATGGCCTAGCTGGGGGTGGGGCCTGAAGGAAGCAGGGGCAGCTCCACCCCCTCCCCCCCTGCCTCGCCTCGTTGTGGTAGTGGTGCGATGCGCCACATGGCCTCTTGCAGCAAGTGGTTGCAGCAGAAGTGGGCCAGCAGCCATACTGGCCAGATGGGGCTGTTGGTGCCACCGCCGTGAAGTGAGGCAGGTGTCACAGAAAATATAAGACACCACCTGAAAATAAGACCTAATGCCTCTTTTGGAGGCAAAAATAATATAAGACTAGGTCTTACTTTCGAGGAAACACGGTAGATTATCAGATAAGTGGTTAATAAGTACACAATATTTGCAACAGAGGTCAATGTTCAGGCCACCAAGCAAGCAAGGAAAACCTACTCCTACGGTGAGGAGTACACATTACATATGGTTCAAATACTTTCCTTTAGGACCTGTCAAATAGGGAGGAGGGAGATTTGTCCCTAGATGGGAATAAAATCCAAAATCACATCTCAAATCTATTAGGCTTTTCTACAGAGCAGAATTCCCCAGCTGTTTGGGAAAGTGCAAGACTGAAGGAACTAAATGAACTAGAATGTCTAAGCTTTACAAGTTCCTTGTTGGACCCATTACTAGCAATGGTTTCCCACTACAGATAGTCCCCAACTTACAATCACAATTGGGACCAGAATTTCCATTGCATAGCAAGGTGGTTGTTAAGTGAATCACATCCAATTTTACAGCCTTTTTTGTCACTGTTGTTAAGCAAATCACTGCAGTTAAGTGAACCATGCTGTCGCTAAACAAATCCAACTTCTCCCATTGACTTTGCTTGACGGAATATGACTAAGAAGGTTGCAGTTGGTGATCACATGACAGAACACTGCAACTGTAATTTTAAACAGTCACTAAACAAATGATTGTAAGTCGAGGATTACCTGTAGCTATTTACTGTCTTATGCCTTCCATTCCCTGACACTTTTAACAAAATCTTCAGAGCAGAGTAGAAGTTTCTCAAGGCAATGAGAAAATGAAAATTCTTCCATCTTGTTTCTCAGTACCTTCTCACAGTTAATCCTAGACCTAATTAAGACTTCATAGTGGATACTCACATGATAACTCTGGTCTTGGGAGTAATAGTAAATGAAGACAGGGAAGACATCCTAGACCAGTGATGGCGAACCTTTTAGAGACCGAGTGCCCAAACTGCAACCCAAAACCCACTTATTTATAGCTGGGTGCCAGGTGGGCCTAGCCCACTGGATGGGCGTGGCTGTGGTGGTCATGACAGATTGGGTGGGTGTGGACAAGGTGGGCATGATCACCTCAATGTTGCTTGTGGGGAGGGATGCCTGGGGGGGCTGGGCAAGGTTGGGGGAGATCCAGGGGGTCTCTGGCAGGTGGGGCGGTGGGCAGGAGGCTCGTCCTGCGGGGTGAGGTGAGACAAGGCAGGGCAGGGGTGCCATTGTCACAGGGCAAGATGAGGCAGGGGCCTAGCGGCTGCTGCCTGACACCATCGGCTTCTTCACACAGAGGCCAGTGAGCACATGGGTGCTGGGATGCATCCAGCCATGTGGGACCTTGGCGAGATAGCAGGCGGCTGGTTGAAGAGGGACGGTTGCCATCTCCGGGGCATGGTGCGCATGCCGACAGAGAGGGCTCTGAGTGCCGCCTCTGACACGCGTGTCATAGGTTCGCCACCACTGCCCTAGACAGTCTTGGAGACAGAGAATCTGCAATTAAGTGTTCGCAAGGTTCCAGCTATGGCCACAAGGGCTTTCCTTGCCATGTTCATCTTCATTAAGCTTCAGTCCTGTGGGGCTAACAGCTATTCCAATTCATCCCTCGTCTAGAAAATAGGGAGCCTACGTAAGGCATGAACAAGCTAGCCAAGTCTCTGCCTTAATGGCAGATGCTGGTGAAAATAGTATGCAATTCTCAGCCAATAACACTATAGTTAACATAACAATTTAAGACAACTGTAGCTGATGAACTGGAAAGTACACTAAATTAAAATCAGTCTACATATCAGGCCCATTCAGGGGTAGCAAACTATTCAGACAGGCCCTAGATAATGTCCTAATTGAGACTAATGATTAAAAGAAAGCTACTCTCCTAACCAACACAAAAAAAATGAAGCAAAAAATAGCAGGAATCAGACTACACCAAACATTTCTTTCAATTTTTACAGTACTCAAGAAAAATAATTGAGCCACAAGGAATACAGCTCATCCTGAAGGAACCCCAAATGATTTCAATAGTCTTAATCCCAATGACGAGGAAAAAACTTTTCTCACTGCAAGATGGGAGGTGCAAACAACTATCCTCCATATGCATGGGAGTCTAATGGAATTCACCTATCAGTAGACTCATATCATACGAAATGCACAGAACTTAAAGAGGGCTACACCATAGAATTCACCAGCCCTAGATTACTTCACCCTATCTTCCAAGTCCAAAGGGACCAAATGCCATCTAACTCTAAATATTTAATTGTCCACAAGAGGAACAAATAATGACACAAGATCTTGGGCATGAAATAAACCAAATAGCCCAAGTGCCGGATAGAAACTCTGTGATACTGTGAAGTGTTTCCAAAAAAAGATGCTCTGGACTTATACATGCAGAATCAATTCATCCCACAGCATGTTCCTGAGATGTAGTTATTAAGACACCCATTATTTTTTCAAGGCCTCTCTATTCAGCCTGTTTCAGCTTCCAGAGCATTCACAAAGATGATGGTGACTATTGTAGGTCAGATTCCAGGAAATACGTATATATATACTTACCTCCATAACCTGTCAATAAAATTATCTTTGATTATTCAAAGGATCCTGGTGTAGACATTTCAAGGAGCTGGGCTTTTTGATCAATAGACTAGAGCATCCTTCAATCAGCAATTACACTAGCTGGTCACTGTTCTGGACAACAAGCTGAAAAAGGCTTAATCTTCCTACAAAAGAGAGAAAACAGATCATTCAGCAGCCAGCTATATCAGTTCTTCAAATCAGCCATTTGAATCTCGAGGGTTTTGGCAGTAGAGAGCTAAATGATCATCTATATACAGTAGTCTTAGTATCATGGGCAACGATGCATTTTTGTCCCTTCAGTGGGTATTCCTTCTCCTCAAAATCTATCTGTCTAAAGATCCCACAGATGCTTTGCAAATTTAGTGAAGCTGAGGAGTTTCCTCAGGGAGATCCTAGTCAGGAGAAGTTACATGTATATCTAAACAACTAAAGCAACTAAGCAACTAAAACAATTAAAGGTCTGGAGATTAAAACATATGAAGAACGGCTGCAGGACTTGGGTTTGGCTAGCCGCTAGTCTAAAGAAAAAAAGAAATGGGTGACATGATAGCAGTATTCCAGTATTTGAGGGGCTGCTACAAAGAAGAGAGCACCAGAGGACAAGAAACAATGGTTGGAAACTGATCAAGGAGAGAGGCAACCTGAAATTAAGGAGAAACTTCCTAACAGCGAGGACAATTAACCAGTGCAATAGCTTGCCTTCAGAAATCATGGGCGCTTCATCACTGGAGGCTTTTAAGAAGACCTAGACAGTCACTTGTCTGAAATGGTGTAGGTTCTGTTTGAGCAAGGGGCTGGACTAGAAGACCTCTAAGGTCCCTTCCAGCTCCTATTCTATTCTATTCTATTCTATTCTATTCTATTCTATTCTAGTCAGACAGATTCAGTTAACAACTGGGTTACTAACTTATGGACTGCAGTGATTCACAGCAACTGCGGCAAGAAAGGTTGTAAAATGGGGCAAAATCACTTAACAAATGTTTCACTTAACAACAGAAATTTGGGGGTCAATTATAGTTGTAAGTCAAGGACTACCTGTATTAGACTTACCATAAAGATTTATTTTCTACAGCAGAGGCAAGGCATCCTGACTATCCATTATTATTTTGAAAAGGGGGGAAAGATACCTATGGCACAATCATATATAGTTCACAGATAATTCACTTACATATATATACACATATCTTTTGGATATCTTTGTCTGAGTTTTCTTTATGACTTGAACTAAATCTCCCTAGTGAAAAACACCGAATCTAAGCCCTGCTTCTGGAGCGAATGGAAGAGAGATACCTACTGGAACAAGGATTTTTCAAAATATGCTGATTGAAAAAATAGATCTAAGAACCCTTAATCAAGAGGCAAGGCATGAGTGATAGAAAATTGGCAATAAAATGAAAAATAAAGTGTTTATTATAAAATGCAAAATTAACCTTTGCTTTTATAAAACAAAATAACAAACCTTTGAATTTAATAAAGATTGCGTTATTAATTCCCAAGTGGCCCAGTTGGGTTTAATTTTAAGCTGGTGTGCACAAGATGCCACCTTGATGATTAAGCTGGCCTCTTGCAGACACACACCTGAATACACACAAATACGGATTGCAAAATGGGAAGCGAAGAAGGAGAGACTGACCAAAATCGCTCTTGGGTCAAGTTAGAAACACCTGGATTTCTAGCTCTACTTTTAGCTGTCTTGGACTGATGAGGAAATTGTTTGTTGGAGTTTGGAGGCAGGCAAGAAGTTCAGTTTTGTGCTTGTCCAGGTAGGAAAAGAGAACAGTGGAATGAAGGAAAAAGGCAGTCAGCAACTGCTTCACAAACCGTTTACAAATGATAGTGATGACAAATACTGGTGACATGCAGTCAATGAGAGGAAAAGAGCAGATGTTTGAGTGTGTCCAGCATCACTGAATTTGAGAGTTCTTTTCCCACTTAGTCCTTTCAGGAACCCATTCAAGTCCCTATAAATTCTGTGGAACTCAGTTAAAAAAAAAAAAAACCTCCCCAGAGCACGTCTGTGCTTTGTTGTTAAGAATGGATTTCACACAAAGTCCAATGTGCTACTATCCTTTATGACTTAATGCCCTCTAAAGCATTGATGCCTCCTAAATGCATATTTTCCTGAGAGTGCAACATCAGGAGATGTTTTGACTTCTTTAAAGATTTGGGAGCAGGTGCTGCAAACATTTTATCCATGCAAAAGCTTTCCTCCTAAATGTATGGAAGTCAAACTTACTTGTTTTGAATCTTGAGTGTAGTTTATATAACTGTCAACTGTGTCCTTTGAGTGTAATGTTTTCTGCAAAAAAAATTACTTAAATGACTATGAATTCTGATCTAAACATGTTTACTAGGGAGCCACATTAAAAAAGAAATCTCTCGCTAAATTTGAAAATCTGCCCTTCAATCAGAGGAGTCGCTTCTGTTTGAAATTTTCATTCCCTTGTCAGTAATGAGTAGTATCCCCATAATGAGTTACAGATTTTGCCTTTCACTTCTAAGAAAAATGAAATCTTCTCAAGAGATAATGCAGATAGAAAGAAAAAGGAACGATAAAAGCTTGTAATTAGATTCACAATGTGAATGCTTTTTATTAGTGTTTTTGTCTGCTCAATACACTGATTGTATTAATTAATTTGCCACAGAGAGTGGAATTACTGAAATACAATCAGTCTATTAGAATCTAACTATGCCGATAGAATTAAAATACGTCCTTCAATTTTCATATTTATATGCTATTATACTTATATTAACAGAACAACTAAAGAATAAATGAATGCGGTGGTATCTAAAACAATAGGGCAAGACCAAGAATTAGTCTGTAGTGTCTGCAAAACTTGTCCCCATAGGAAATTAATAGAGTTGAAATGATCCCTTGCTTCACTCCCTCAGTTTCCTTGCCTAGGGAGATGTTGCCAAGGATCAGATATATATGCTTCCAGGGAAAGGTAGTATCTGACTAGGAATCTTATTTGGCTAAGGACAGCATAGGGGTTCCCTTTGCTTTCCTTTGATAAGGAGCACTGGAAGATGGGATATGATTAGATGAAGTGCATTGGTCATCTGAATTCATTTTTCCCCTCTGAAGTATGCTGTAAGTCACAGATGCATAATCTGCTGCTTCAGAGCTGCATTTGATGTCCTCAAAACTTAGGTGGGACACCTAGAGATCTCAAAAAGGTAGTACCGAATTCTATTTTTAGTACATCAGAAAGTGAAAATAGTTTAGTAGGGAGGAATCATATTAATTGTATTTAATTAAATCTAAATCTAAATGAAATGAAATCCTAATCCTATTACCAATTTTGCAGTGTGCCATCCAAGGCCTGAAAAACTGTCAGGAAAATTTATTGCATTGTTTGGGTTGTGGGTTAGTAAAAGTGATTGGAGTTTACTATACAGTAAATTTGTAGGGTTTGTAAGTTTACTACATAGTAAGTTTTGAAAGCTCACTAGAATTTACTATATAGAACATGCTTAACTTTACATATGTAATTTATGTGGTGAAACTAATTTTAATCAACAGTGAAAAAAATTAGGAATCCATGTCCTTATTTCTTAAGACAATATAATTGTGTTATGAATGAAAAAAGGAAAATTAAATCATTCCCTTTTGACAATGACAGGGAAATTCAAATTCAGCAGATAAACTATCATCTCAAAAATGTTTTGAGATTTTGGTAGATTGTATGCGTGCATTTGAATGTAATGATTAATCAATAATCAGTTAAAAGGAAGGCCATCTGTAGACTATTGATATGTAGCAAGAGGTTTAGAAAACTGATATACACTAATTGAATATACAGCTATTCTAAGAAAATTACTAACAGAGTTGTAACTATAACAGGTGATATCTTCTGAAGCCAGCAAGCCTCTTGATGTCAAATATACCTGAAGATATTAAAGTCAGACTTACATTAATGGACATTTCTGTTTAATCTCTCCTCCTAGAGTTTTAAGGGACTGGGTATATTCTTCCTTTAAAGCTAGATTTTATTTATTTAAAATATATTTGTCATGCTCTTTAGTAAATAGAGCCCTAGGTTACCCAAAACAAGGCAACCCATGCTTTTAAACTTAATTTTTAAAATTGGAAAGGATAGAAGAAAAAAGCAATTCTGAAGTTCTTGTAATGGCCAGCAGGAAAGGAAGACGACTGCTCACACTTTAAAAAACTAGATTTATCAATTTTTGTAGAAGTAACCTTGAAGAGCTAGTCTTCCTGGAAATGGCTGTAATGTAGCCAGAGGTTGTTAGTTTTGTATCTTGCAGTCTTAAATTCTGAGATATTATTAGATTTTTCAAGTGTCTCCTTTCTGCAAGGTTCAGGAAATTCCAGCTGACAACCCCAGGGACTAGATGGCTTATAGGACAATTTGTTTTAAAGTTCTTCATGAAGGAGAAGATAGGCTTAGTTGATGAGAAGTGATTTCAGTACTGTGGATGCAGCAAGTCCTAAAAGCATATTGAAGGATATAGTTAGTTTTCCTTTATTAGTCACAGAGTCTTGCCAGCTTTGCCTAAGCTAGAAACTTCTTTGCAAAGCACAGCTGTGTGAGCTTGGAGGAAGCTGTCTGGGCTTATTAGGTTACATCAGGCCACTGACTAACAGAACAATTCTTATCTGATCAATACAAAGCTGCCTCTGTGAAACACATTCTTAGAGAAGCCTGTATACTCTGGTTATTCAATCCTTCTAAAGCCTAATGAATGGAAGACGTTTGGCTCATAAAAACAATTGCAAGCATATATTTTGTGTCCTGATGGCATCCATTGATATTTATTGTGTTCAGAGAAGTAGTTTTAAGGATCAAGCCACAAATTTGTAAAATTCCATGAATCTTTCTTCCACAAAAAAGATTGTGTTTATTTTCCTGTTCTGCAGGCCTTTGGAAACTTCAGCCAAACTGCCAGTACCTTTTTTGCGGCAAGTCGTGCCTGTTAAGAAAAAGGTGGGTATTCTTGTGTTGGAACACACAAAACAGAACTTTGTAATTAAAAAAAAGAATGAGCGATAAATATACTGGGAGAATATTTGAATATTTGAGCATGAAACGTATTTGGAATGTAATGAAATGAATAACTTTGGTTTCAATATTTGAGGAGCTTTTTAATTTCAAAAGCAAAATGCTGAAGAAGATGAAATGAGGGAAAGGAATATGACCAATCTGGTATCGTGCCCCCAAAACATGGGCTTCCTAGAACGCACAAATATTTTTTGACATTGCGGAGATGCTAGTATTGATCCTATTTCCTCCTCCACAGGTGTCCCGAGATCCTCGTTTTGATGACCTCTCTGGGGAATATAAGCCAGAAGTGTTTGAAAAAACATATAGTTTCTTAAATGATGTGAGGAAGAAGGAAAAAGAGGTAATAATGTAACAGTGTCCTGCGTTTCTTCCTTCAGAATGAAAACAGATCTCCATAGAGAGTTGGTGTTCTCTTATTTTGCAGGTTATTCAGAAGCAACTGAAGAAAAGCCAAAATGTGGAAGAGCAGAACAAATTGCAGCAGCTCCTTAAGCGAATGGTGAGTTGGTGCCAAAGAGAATTTAAACAGCCAGTTTACCCTTCTGAAGTGCAGGCAACTGGCAGAAACAAAGCTATAGAGAGAATTGATCATAAAACCATGAGGCGAGTGAAATCGCAGAGAGGAAAAATGCAACTTTTTTGTTTCTTGCCCTTCTTTGTTCCTTAGACACAACAGGAAGAAGCACAGAGAAAGTACCAGAAAAAGAGAGAAAATTCCCTGGCATTCAAGAGGCAGCAAAGAGAGTTGGCCAAGCAAGGAAAGAAGCCCTTCTTCCTAAAGAAATGTAAGCTTTCCCCACATAGGATAATAGCTGCTCTACTGACCTTGACCTTAATATGGTCCCCTTCCTCTATTAATAGTAAATAGTAGGAGACCTATTTGTACTAGTTGATTTGTACAAATTGAAGAATAAGGACTTTATTTGTGTGTATCTTCATCATCATCACCAAGTCAGTGGAGCCCTTGATGTCATCTGTTAAAAAGGCCGGATGGATGGTAGCACTGTTTCTGCTGCAAAGAGCGTATGAGCGTTGCATCCAACATCCCTGCACTGGCAGCATTTACTTTCTCTAAATTATTGAATTATTCTCTAAATTACTAAATTATTCTCAACATTTTGAACTTATAACATTTCGCTTAGTGACTCTTCGAAGTTACAATGGCACTGAAAAAAGTTCCCCCCAAGCCACAGCCAAGCAAGACACCTGCCTGCCCACCCGGGGCGTTCTTCCTCCTGTCTGAGGTTTTCATTGTTGTGAGCATTTCTGTTGAGGATTGGCTGCGGGGGTGGGGTGAGGGGGGTTTGGTTTTTATTCCCCCCATCTGCTGGGTGGTTGCAGCAGGTTTTGGTCACTCCACATGACCCTGGGACACTGTGACTGTCATAAATATGAATCAGTTGCCAAGCATCTGAATGTAAATCACAAGACCCTGGAGATGCTGCAACATTCCAGCTGATCGGCGCTTCTTCTGGGCTCAGCAAAAGTGCCAGAATTAGTGCCGAGCTCCAGCTGATTGGTGCTTCTTCAGGGCTCAGTAGAAGCACCAGGATCAGCTGGAGCCTGGCGCTGATCCTGGCACTTCCACTAAGCCCTGACAGCCCTGAAGAAGCACCGATCAGCTGGAGTCTGGCACTGATCCTGGTGCTTCCACTGAGCCCTGACAGCCCTGCAGCTCCAGCCATCTCTCGCTCAGGCATGTGCGGTGCTGCCACCGGTTCAGCTCATTCCCTTCCCCCGCTATCACTTTTCTAAGATGGTTGCGTACCACCTGCCAGGTGCCAATGTACCACAGGTGGTACCCATACCACTGGCTGAAAAGCCCTGGTTTAGGATAGCCACTGCCAGTACTTAAATTTAAGTTTTTCTATGGTATTTTCATAGCAATTAGTTACTAATACCTGTATCACATGATTTATAGGACCAGGTTGAAAGATTATGTTGGCAGGCAAACACAGTGAAGGGGAAATCAAGCTTAGGTTATAGAAAATAATTGTTTTGGGTATTATGAACACTTACGAATTAAGACTTCCTTCTTGACATCTACAGCTGAAATGCAGAAAATGGAACTTGCTGAGAAATACAAACAACTGAAGAAAAGTGGGAAGCTGGAGAGTTTCCTGAACAAGAAGAGGAAAAGGAATGCTGCTAAGGATAAAAGGAAACTCCCTTTTCGGAAGGATAGCTAATGTCTGCCTAAACCCCCCACCCCCCCACAGGTTCCTACTTTGCCATTTATACAGGCAACTCTATGAAAGAAGATGACCTCTTGTGTGTTACCAGACAATGAAGGCGAATAGCCAGGAATCATCCCACAGTTCAAGATACTCTGCCAAGTAATTTATGTCTGCTGAAAAAAATGATTGTTGTGCAAAATTATGTTGTTCCAATTTCACAAGGACCTCTTAAACTTTGAAAAAGGAATCTTTTTAGCAATTAAATTTCCTGCTGCTTGTTCTTCTTTTCCTATCCTATCAATCTGATCTCATTCCCCTCTGCTTCTCCCAAAACTGTTCTTCCTCCTTCTAGTCTATTTTTTCTACTGTGTGTAGGCTTGGCATTCACCTACCGTTTTTAAGAATTGCTTTCCTGGAGAGCACTCTTACTTTCCTGCAGCTACCCATTAGTCCTGCTTGATTGTGATTCCAGCTGTTTTATTTGCAGAGCTTAACAGAATAACAATAACTGATGCTTAACAGAATTTCCCAGTGAACAGCAGCACTGCGCAAGCTAGAATTTTCATTTAAGCACTATTTGCAGTATTGCAGATGGAAGAATTGCAAACAGCATATTGAATTCTAGCCTTGGCATATATATGTATATTTTCCAGCTTCTTACACTTTGGTTAGGGACAACAGGTTTTTTTGTAATATGAATGCATTTACTTTTACCGCTGAAGTGGACTATCAACTGTCCATGTTTTTAGCGGGTTTTTAGAAAATGTGTGTAAACATAAAGAGTATTATTACAGTACAACATTGACAATTTTCATTTTGACTGAGTTTGCTGTATCACCAATCAGCATCACGGTTTCACTGGGTGTATTTTAAAATAAATTTGTTATTTTTATAAAGTAAATATTTTATATAGGAATAATAGATAAATCATCCTAGCAATATCTCATGATCAAATAAAAGTTTTACCATTTTTAAATGTTCTAGTTGTGGTTAGACATGGTACGTGCTCTTTCTTGAACTAATTTGGATGTTTAGAGCATAAAGTCCATCTCCTGCATTACATAACTGAGGCATGTTGTAAGTTTTGTCTCATTAACAGTGATCTAGACAAAGGATCCTCCATCTTCTTATAGAGTGACTGAAATGCATTTGATCAACTAAACCAGAGTTTCCCAACCTTTTGGGGTTGGCAGCCCGGAGCGGGGGGGGGAAGGGGAGAAAGAAGGGGTGGTTTTGTGGGAGGATGAACGCATGCGTGCACATGCGCACATGAACACCCATTGCCTGCACAAGCGCGGCCATGAACACTTGCGATGCTCGTGCAAGTGGGTGCGTGAATACTCGTGCAAGTGGGGCCGTGAATGCCCACAACACTCGCGGCAATGCAGAAGTTGGGTTGTGCGTGCATGCACACATGTGCGCAGCAGCCAGCCACTCACGCAGCCCGGTGGCCAATTGGGGACCCCTGAACTAAACCACTAAAACAGAACAATCCCTATAGGTACCACCTAATGTATCCTTAAAAGGAAAGCAGAAGTGCCAAGTTGGTTTGTTTCTATAGTATTTTCTTTTCAACAGCCAGATTTCTCTTCTGGGTATATTTGCAAACTTCCTGAGGAGTTTTACATAGTAGGCTGACTATGCTAGAATAAAATTAGCTGTTTTGGTATATGCTCATGAAAATGTATGACACAGATATAGATAACAAAGTTTATTCAGTGAAAAACATATGTGATTAAAGCAGACACTGGGAATTATAAAAAAACAATGAGAACCTTTGTGCCCAAGGAAAAGAGGTAGTTAGGAAAAGAGGGATGTACTAAATATACCTGCTGCATGTTGCAAACAAAAAGGAAGCAGTAGTGCAGTAAATTAAATGTAGAGATTCAAACCTGATTCCATTCTGAGTGCTAAGAAAACCCTTAATAATTTACTCTTTTTTTCTTCCAAGTTTGCCAATGACTTTTGAATGGATGCAATTTCAGTTTCTTAAAGGCTTCAAATTGACATTTAAACAGCCAATAATCTGAAAACGAAGTCTTCTCCATTTGTTACAAAAAGCAACTTCAAAAGTCCTCTGCAAATGGATTTATTTCTTATTTCAAATATTTATTAGTCACTTTACAGATAATAGCTCTCAGGATACCATTCAGTTTTTATTAAATGAAACCTGTGGAAATTATCAAAATACCTTAAAAATCAAAGAAAACAAAAAACAACAAAGAAAAAATGTTTAAAAATCTTAAAAACCAGAGTTATTTTAAAAAGCATTCATATTTCTCTGAAAAGTACCTTTCAAACCACATTTCAATATTGTTTCTTCTATTATGTCCAATCCTCCTCGAGTGCTTGAAGAATATGTTAACATCTAATTTCCCTGGATTTGAACAATTTCCCAGACATTGCAAGACGCCTGGTTTGATCTTTTATTCTTCTAACAAAGCCAGTCTTCCATTTCTCCCAGATCATTATAATGAAGACCATCCCTCATATAGTTTTAGTTGTTTTATCCATTCTCTAGGGAGCACAAGTGGAAATACCACTAGATCTTTTTCTTCTGTCAGTTGTCTTATGTTTTTAAATAATGAAAATATTTTCCTGTGTAAATTACAGAACAAATTTACAATATAAATAGGAATACTAAAGAAGAGAAAAACAAAACTACTTTGTGTGAAGACAAATCATTGGATATCTGGCTCAAATATTTACAAGTGTCCTATTTTATATATTGTAATGGGGTCCATCTGCACCACTCCCTCAGATTCCCTGTTATTCCTGGGTCACAGGTTGGGAATTATTGCTTTGGGTCTATTGGGCTATAACTTATATCAACTGTGTACAACAGCAGTTCTGGTTGGAAATGATCAAACATCCCTACAAGACACCAACCTTTAGGGAGGTTGTGATGGTCCTTGCTTCAATGAACTTGTTTTTATGTTACAGATGAGGGTTGAGGCCCAATGTCTTGGATTATATTGAATGAGCTTTGGGTGAAGCAACTTTAGAAATAAAGATTTCTGAATAGGTCTAATATTCATCAGGAAAGTTTATGGGGTAAATTGCAGAGTAAAGCCTATTGAGATTATTGGAGGGTAATCTTAGGTGTATGTGGGATTGCAGCTTAAACTGTATCCTTTATTTATCTATTTTCAAAATTTACATGACTTGTATACTGATCCTAGGCAGCTCATAACAATGAATAAAAACAAGGATAAAAGCAAAAACACCCTTTATGCAGGCACTAGACCAAACAACCTCACAGCTGAATCCCCATCCTAGCCGCCCAATGTCTGGGGGAACAGCCAGGTGTTCATGGTCTTCCAAAAGAGCAATAAAGTAGGGATCTTTCAGATTATAGGGCTCTTAGTCTGGAGACCAGGAAAGGAATAAATGCAAACTATATATATTTTATTATATAAAATAAAAGTGCAAGAGTTTCAGCTTGTGATGCTAGAATATACATTTGTGGCCATTATTTAGTTCGCTACTATCTAAGGATGACCAGGAAGAAGCTATATTTCCATCTGGAAGAGAACTATTTATTGGGTTAAATTCCCAGTCGCATTGACCGAATTTTGTTTATATATGTCTCTGCTTGGTCATAGTTACATAGAAATGAAAAAAATCCTTAAACAGTCAAACGTCTGCTGTCGTACTCCCGAGTTTCAAATTAAGAAGTCTTATTAAAATTAGGAGAAGACCATAGAAATAATAGGAGACAGCATACAAAGAAACTAGAGAAGGCCAACCTGTCTCCATCTCCCAACTTTTTTTTAACTGAAAAAAAAAAAATTCCCAAAGTGGCAAACTAAAAGTAAGAGCAATTCTCGACCACCCCATTTGGGATGTGTTTGTAGGTATTCTTTTAAATTTGTTCATCAAAAACACTAATCCCCCAAACTCTGCCCACATACCATCACCATATCAATTCAGGCTCCAATTGTTTTTCTTTTTCTTTTTTAAGAACTCTGTATGCCTACCCTTGGTCTAAATAATTTATACAATTTTGAATCTTAAAAGGATCCTAGCTAGATGGCAGCACACACCCATCCTTGCTTGATCTTCAAAAACTGAATGGGGCAAGTCCCCTTCAGTACTTGGACCAGAGTCACCAAAAGTATCAAGGTTATAGGCTAGATTGTGAAGTCAAAAATCATCCTGGAAAAAAATAATGGAGAACAAATTTTAAGAAGCTGCACAAACATTCCTTGAAGTCATCAGAAGCTGAAGTCAACTTAAAGGAGTCTTTATGTTTTACGGGTAGTCCTCAACTTACAACAGTTTGTTTAGTGATCATTCAAAGTTATAACAGCACGGAAAAAAATGATTTATGACCGTTTTCCAAAGTTATGACCTTTGCAGCATCCCTATGATCGTGTGATCAAAATGTGAATACTTGGAAATTGGTTCATATTTATAACCGTTACAGTGTCCTGGGGTCATGTGATCCCCTTTTGTGACCTTCTGACATGCAAAGTCAACTGGGTTACTAACTTATCAACAGCAGTGATTCACTTAACAACTGTGGCAAGAAAGGTCTTAAGATGGGGCAAAACTCACTTAACAAATGTCTCATTTAACCACAGAAATTTGGGACTCAGTTGTGGCCATAAATTGAGAACTACCTGTATTAAATGAAGCAAGAATTGTATTTATATAATAGACAATCTTTTATAAGGGGAAAATATTATGTTTGTAAAATTAGGGGACAGGATTGAATGAAGACCTGGATTCTTCAACCACATGTCACCCATATAGCTTGTATATGGAATACCTCTTGAGGCGGAATTTTGACATTTGAAAAATAGCAGGATCAGAACCTACACAAAAACTTTCAGGGAAGTGGGTCATTTTGGTTTCTAGCAGTCCAGGAAGGGTAGCTATAAGAAGTGCAAACTCTGATGTCTTATTACACATTGACCCGGGGATATGTGAAGTTCTGCCTGTATTGATGGAAGATAGACGACAGACAATATATTTTGTAAGGGGAAATCTAGGCCATTATGCCAGTTGTATTAGATAAAAGACAGGAATTTTATACTCCAATATTTCTCATTTGAATGTGTTTTTTTTCTTCACACCCACTTCTAATTTCTGGCTTTCTTATAAGAAGCACGGCAAAGTTACTGAAAAGGTTTTTCCTCATAATGGTAATTCGTGGAACATAAAAATTAGAGAATATTTTTCAGAATCTGGGTGTCCTCCAGGTGTGTTTAACAAATGTTGGAAATCCCAGGCAGCATGGGCAATGGCTAAAACATTCTGGGTTTTTTATGGTGTCCAGGTAAGTTTGTTCTGTTGTGTGGGACTCTGTATCCCCTAGCAATCAAACACCGTAGTGTGAATTCTTCTTGCCTGAAGGTCTTGACTCCACACAGCAAGCTTGTCTATGTGCATTGCTTCATATTATCCCTCGTGAAGTATATCTCTTTGTATCCTTTGTGCCTGCCAAAATACAGTGGCCCTACTGTCTCTCAAGTTGATATTAAATGTGCATTATTCTCATTTTACCCCCGTTTCTATACTTTTGAGCCTGGGGTCAGACCATTGTATCATGGCTGTCAGAACTTTTAGCTTATGCTCCATTTTCTTTCAACATTTGGTGATGCTCAAATTGTATGATTTTACTTAAAAACATTTTTAGATTAACTGTTTACATAACCCTGGCTTCCGAAATGTTTACTAAAGCTGCTCTTGCTGGGAGATTCATAATACTGCTCTGAAACAATGCAACCACACTACTTTGCTTTAGTTTTGCTCTGTTACCTGATGATTCGCTGAAATAATTCATTCTTCCTCTCATGTTCCTTCTCCATGTGCAGAAAGGTTCTTTGCATACTCTAACATAAGATTTCCCAACTTTGGCCACTTTAGGGTGTGTGGACTTCAATTCCAAGAATTCCCAAGCCAGTATGCCTGCCCTTAAAGATGAAGTGGGTCTACTCTGTCTAGAAGGAAACTCCCTGCCACTTGCCT